AAATGTTAACCAGTGATACTACAAAGCTAGTTGATTAGTAAAATAGTTTTAAGAATCAGCAGATTATGAATATAATATCTCTATATTTTTAGTGATGTTTCAAGATGTACAATATTGACTTCATCACTTTCTGAAAAGAAATACTTCTTTCTATCCATTAACAGAAAGTCAGAATATCTTCAGGGAATATAGAGGTATTTCTTGTTACAATTAAAAAGAATAGCTGAAATAAAACACAAACAAAAGGTCTGCTGATGAGCTGAGACAGAGCTCCACTGGTAAAAGAAGCAGAAAATATCTAGGAATTATGGAAGTTTTGCCACGAAGCTGGCAAGAAGCATAGTTGTTTGGAAACATGCCAGTTCGTGTTATCAGCTAAATTCTCTTCCATATCAAAATATCTCAGTAATTCCTCCTCGAACCCCTGGGTAACAAAAAGTACGAAAAACATGTATCCTTATGAGCAAATAAGGTCGTTCATAAGAGCAGTGCTCTATGAAAAGCAATAAAGCAGTTCCGGCGGATGACATTTTAAAAGAGATCCAAACAGAAGTACAGAGACTGCTCAGCCTCCGATCATTTTATAGAAATAAGACCCTCACTGTAGTTTAACGTCTTCACGGTTTGAGACACGAAGCGGAGTGACCATGAAAGTGTGTGTGCCGTGCAAACACTTGGAGCTCTCTGTCCCGTGATGACCAACGTCTTCCAAAGGCATGTGACCTGTCAGATTGTTAGTATTTACTCTTGCTCCTCTGGAAAAATGTGCAAACAGGCACTGAGCACGGTACTTTGAACAGAGGCTTGGGCTAGGGCAAGAACTTTTATATGTCACAGTGCTGTGCTTCTTTTCTTCTAGAAACGATTAAAATATAAAATATATCACACAGTTTTCCATATTTTCACTCTTACAAATGACGGAAACAGAGTTTTCCTACCTGTGTAAATATCTTTCAGATGAAGCATTCTGAAACCGTGTTGTTACCTTCGGCTGAAGGTTTCTAAATGTTCTTTCTTCTAGTTTCCTGTGGAAAACTAGTCACAGCCACAGAAGATGGGCATTTATTAGTGAAATTACTTTTTCAAAATCCTGCTCTAAGTTCTGAAGACACTGGAAACACAAGGGTTAGAGTCTAAAAACTTCAGGCAATAGAATGGTTTTCTGCTATTGACTTTAATATTAACTTGAACTGTTGCAAGTTTTATTTTTATTAAATTCCAATTTTTAAAACCAGACTTTTTGAATTGCCATATCACAAGGTTAAGCCAGAAATATAGAAGAGAATTAAGCATTAGTTTGATCCTATTGCTACTATCTCTGCTATTAGTAAAGCAGTAACTTTAATAATTATTTTATCTTTTTTATTTTCCCTAAATAATAGGTAAATATATGCATATATATGGATACATATGTTAATGCTTTCTCTTTATTGACAGTGATACAAAACCAATTTTGATATGTTCAGTGCTAACCAAATTAGTATTGTAAAAAAATGTTTGCCATTTGCTTTTAAAATAGCCAAGAAAATTTCTCTAGTTTTCCTTACAAAAGATTAGTCAAGTAAAAAATTGTTTTAGCATAAAGTGATAAAAAAATGAAGAAAAATATCACTCAGATTTCTAGCACTCCACAACCACTACTGAAATCAGGGCACATGCTTCTAGACTATGTTCTGAATGCACAGCTATTTTCTATTCATCCACAGAGCTTTGTTCTTCACTTAAAGCTGCTTTTGTAGGGAGCCTTGATGCCTTACAGAATTATTTAAAATAAAATCTAAATAATTATTTTTGGACAGCATCAAATGTTAAGGAATTCTCAACGTGCTTAAATCAACCTTAAACCTAACTTTGTTTTGATGTGATCTAACATGAATTCCCGCAGTCCACCTGGGGAAGGATGGTAACATTGGTCTCACGGAGTCCATCGTTTGTCATTTTAATGGTCTTCATCTAGATATTAAACGTGTGGCTCGAACAAAGAGAAGTTACCAAGAAACAGCCACACCAAACTTGGTGGCTTTTGACTTAGTTTATCTTCATATGGCCCAGGTAGCAAAGCAGGTAGATTAAAGGGAACCAAGGGTTTGGCAAGGAAGCTTTTGTTTCTGTTCAGTATTGTAACTTCGCCTCCAAGTGATAAAAATACAATTTTAGAATTATTAATTGTGTGCAGCAAGTTAGAGAATTGAACCCAGACAGTGACTATTAGTGAAGTCATGGTATCTTCCAATTCAAGTGAGCTGTCATTTAGAGGTGTGGTCTTGGACTCCGTCTCAGAGGACATTTTTTATCAATGACTAATATTAGAAAAAGAAATTCATTGACACAGTAAATGAAACCTAGCTGGGAAATGAAAACTAAGAAGAGGAAGTCATCTTCACAGTGACTAGATCAGAATCAAAATAAAATTACAGAAGTAGCAAGAAGTAAACAAAATGAGTGAGTCTTTGGGGGAGGCTTAAAATAGACAAAGGGGAAAAAAACAAGTATCAAGGGCAACTTTTAACAAGTATCACAGCAAACAACCAGGCTTCACAAAAATAAGTATCCTTTGTTCAGGGGCCAACTATAATTGATATTATTTAAAATTCAATCATAATGTATAATGCATTCCCTGTTATAACTCACCAAAAAAACTCCTCATTCCCAGTTGAGTGCCAATGCAAACACTCTTTTTTCTTTTGCTCAGAAATGCTATCCACTTTAAGAACAAATGTGAAGACCATAACTTCATCTAAATGGCTGAGGTAGTAGAAGCAAACAGCATCATTCATTGCTATCTGGAAGAATGGAGTAAGTAAATACTGGACTTCAAATAAAAACACACAGTTAGGAAGGTAAGAGGTGCAGAAGTTCCTTGGCTAAAGTGGATCTGTTGTACTCACTTGTGGGAAATACTGAGCAAGAAAAAAAAGTTAAAACAGTTTAGGAAAATTTGAAAATAGGCGAGGATAAACAATAGTATTAAAAGGATCATTTGAAAATCTGGTAGAATTTTCTTTATTTTTATCTTCATTGACAGATTTCTACTATTTTTGTTCCTAGCGATGGTGATGTGTGGAGGGACGAAAGATAAAATTTTCAATGTCCTGGCCAGGCATCAAGCTTTGTGGTTGTCGTCTGAGGCAGGAAATAGAGTAAACAGCTTCCACTGAGACTTGAAAGCTAAAAAAAAAAAAAAAAAAAAAAAAGGAAGCAAGCTTGTTATTATCAAAGCTTGTACTGATAGTGTCAGGAAATATTTCTTTAAAGCATTATAATTGTGTTAGATCCTTAAATCTAAGAGCAGCAGCAGATGCCAGAATGCAGATCTCACCCTGAGGAACCTGGAATGTGCAGACATGAGGTAGTTCCTTAAGAAAGCAGCGAGCACAGTTCATTTTCCTGGTGTTCTTTAACTCTTCTTTAAAAAACTTTTACTTCCACAACTGTCCTAGACCAACTATTATTTAAAAGGTGCATATGACCAAGCAAGAACAAAAAGCGAAGGTGTGACCCCACAATTGAGGGAAAAGAATAGCAGTAAACATTCAGCTACACATCTTGGATTTTTTCCTCACGTACATGTATGTAAAAAGTGTCTTACAGTGGATCCTTTGCAATTTATATATATATATATGTCTAACATTTATTAATACAGGAAAATTATAATAGTTTACCCAGTACCAGACACTAATTAGTACATAAGATCAACATAGTCATTTCAGATGGCTACTACATTTGCATAAATTGCACCTTTGGGCTTTTGTTTGCAATTGTTCACTATTATGAACAAGGGAAGTTTCTTCAATTTTTTTCTTTGTGTTTTTGGAGGGATTTTGTTTTTGGTTGTTTGTTTGTTTGGATTTGATTTAGAACATTATCACATAGAAGGAACCGAAGGTGTTTACTCCTCCAACAGATATTTGGTTTTGATATTTGTGATAAAAGAGAAATGGTTAAGGCAAGATCTCCACTACCAACTAACCTTTAAGTCTGGAATAGAGATGAGAAATTCGAGGAGAGAAAAATACTCTCACTTAAGTAATCTAGTTTAAGGGAGTTGCTGGGTTAAGGACCAAATGACTATGTAATAAACCGCTTCCAGAAACCCGAACAACTAATAATTGTTACTTGTGTGTATTAAAAAAAAAAAAATCTACCCACGACGACGTCTGCATTAGCCAGTGATGTAGGAGTAACAGAAAGCCAGGACGGGGCGCCCAACCTCCTCCCGGGCTCCAGGCAGAGAGGAAACCCTCTCCGGGGCCTCCTGGCGCCGGCGCTCGCCCGGGAACGGTCCCGCGCGGGGACACCCGCCCTGCACACCCGCTTCTGTACTCCTTTCACGTCCGATGCCAGGCGGACCGAAAACAAACCTCCACCCTGCCGCCTGCTCTCGGAAAAGCCTGGGGGCCCGAGAGCGGCTTCGCCTAAGATCAAGCGCAGAGCCGCTTAGCTCAATGGTCAGAGCGTGGGTGGCAAACAAACTTCGTTTCGTGTTCACTTGGAGCACCGCGGTTCTGGGAAAGGATCAAAGCGACCTTCCTAACAGTGCGCAGCGCTTCCCTACATCACCCTCCCCGCCCCTTTCTTCCCTTTTTCTTTTTTAAATAAAAATAACTGTAGCCGATGAGTAAAGAAGCGGGCTTTAAAGCCACGCGGGGAGTGCGAGCAGGGCAGTTCAGCAGGTGGCCAGCGGCCCGCAGCCCGGCCCACGGCCGAACCAGCGCGCGGACTCCGCTCCACATCAATGGGAATCCCCCGTGGGAAAGGCGCCTCCCACCACGCCTGCGCTCGGACGCCCAGCCCGTCTCCGCGCCCCGGGTGCCGCATCCCACCCCGGCTCCGCGCCGCGTTGCTCCACGCCCGCGGACGACTCTCAGTGCCGAGGGGCGGGGGCGCCGCCGCGGTGCGGGGAGGGGGGGCGGGAGCGGCGCGCGGGGAGGGGAAGGGGTTCTCGCGCGATTGGGCGAGGTTTCCGGTGTTGTGACTGAAACCCGTCAATATGGCGGCGATCGGCCGCGGCCGCTCGCTGAAGAACCTCCGAATACGAGGTAAAGCCCGCCGCCGCCCTCGCAACCCCGCGCGCTCGGTGCCCACCACCGCGGTGCTCAACCTGCCCCGGGTCCTGGGGTGGGGGAGACGAGCTTGGGCACTGGCCGCCGGCGGCCGGCGATGCTTCCTAACAGGGGCTTGTGTGTCTGTTTCGCACAGGGCGGAATGACAGCGGCGAGGAGAACGTCCCGCTGGATCTGACCCGAGGTAATGCTGGGCGCCGGCGGAGAGGCGCGGGAGCTTGGGCCGGAGCCCGGGGCCCCGAGGCTAGGGTGGGCCGGCCAGCGAGCGACTCGCGGCCCCGGGGGCAGCGAGGGGCCGAGCCCGCGCCCATCCCCCTGCCCCGCGCCCGCTTCCCTGGGCTGAGCCCCTCCGGGCCTCGGGCGGCTGCGGGAGCTCGGGAGCTCGGGGCGGATTCGGTGCAGCCAGCGATCCCGGGGCGCTCCAGACTACCACCCCCCTCGCTCGCCCGCTGGAACATTTCTTCTCCCATCACCGCTCCCGGGCCCCCGATCCCGGGGGCGGCCTGGGAGGAGGCGGGTGGGGGGGTAGACGTTGTTATTTAGGTTACTGGAGGATGTTTGAGGGAAGAGCGACCACATCCTGCCCTCCCCGTCCCCCGGAGCAGATGCTGGACCTGCTGGGTTCTCGCTGACTGCGTTGTGGGCTTTGCCCTGTCCGCGCGCGCTGCTCCGGGGACCCGCGGCTTTGATAACTCGGAGGTGAAATCGAGAGCCGGTGATTAGGGCTGAGTGTCTGGTTTCTGCCGTGTCTCCCTGCTGCTTCCCTTTCCCGGGCCCGCCGGGTCTGGAGTTGGCTAGAGACCGCCCCCTCACTCTGCCGCAGGTTCATTGTGTACCTTCTGCAGCAGCGGGGCTGGGTTTGTTTACACCTTCTCTGCAGGGCCGGCCCGGGTTAGAGCCTGAAGAACTGTATCCGCCTAACGATCGGCGATTCTTTCTTCGGTCACGCACCACCGGACCGGTGTTTACTCCTCAATATCAGCCTGAAGCATTAGTAGTCACACGGTAGATTCTTTTCTCTTTCTCCATAAACAGGATTTGGTTTACAGAGTTCGGTGTTCATATTCCGCAGCGCCGTTGCTTAGGGTGTAACTAGTTCTGCTGAACAGATTCAGTTTTTTGAGATCTGTGAAACGCTTCAGGAAGTTAAAAAAAAAAAAGACATAAACATTCTACGTGACAGAAGTTTGCTGTTGTTTTACCCTGTATTATACTCAATAAAGTAGTTGGTGGTTGTGGGGTATTGACAGCATAATGCGTTCGTAGTTTTGATTTAAGACTCTTTCTGTGTAGACTGAGCGACCAGTTTTGATTTAGTTACGTGAGTACATGTTTGTTAGTATTTGGTTCCGATAGTTCAGGAAGTTACGTTTTGAGTAAACAAGCCCTTTCAAAGGCAGAAACTTTTCTAAGATGCAGTGCAGTGGTGTGTAAGTCCTGGAAATGGCACCTAATTACATCAATGATTTGGAACTTTTTTTCCCCAGTGACTCGGTCTGAGAATCGGTATAGAAAAAGATCAGACTGTTAAGTTTTTTTTTTTTGCAAATTTGTAAACTTAACATTACGTAGACATAAAAATGTATACAAAGTAGATTTTCCAGCAAGCGTTCTGATGAGGATCATAATACCGACCTGAAATTTAGCATTGCACTTTTCTAACTATGTAGTAGGTCAGTGTTTTAATTTGTATTCAAGCAATTGAGATAAAAGAGCACTTGAGTAAACCTGATCCTAGTCTCTCCAGTAAAAACCTGCTTGGATGTGGTGTTGGAAATACATTGTAATTGTAGAGTATGTTGATTTTGTTAAACTCCTTTGTGTGGTTGGTGTCAAAATTTGGGCGTGTAGAAAAGCTTATTTGAGACCTGCCTCATTTCAGTTTGAAGTCAGGAAGGCGGATCTTTGTGTATTATTAAAAATAATCAGTTCTTGGAGAATTTAGTGAACACCTATGTAATAGAACTGTTTCTAGAATTATGTAAAATGCTCAGAAAATGGTTTTCACTTGCCCTGATAAAATGTACTCGTGTCCTATATAAGTATACACAGCCAGTTGAAGCTGATCCCAAAAGCTGTACACAACCGAGAGAGAGAAGGTACATGGGAATTATAATCCTAAATCATAAGATTCATTATATTGTGAAACTGTTGACTAGAGAAAGTGTTACTTTGATGAATGTTTCATTGTTCAAAGGCTTGTGGATCACACACGAAGAAAGTTCATGAAGAATTAAAGTTTGGTAATAATTTGAGACCAGTGAAGCAGTCCCAGTTGCAGCTGAATGACAGCTGCTTGTGGATCAGATTACAATACGAAAAATGATAAAGTTTGAGCAACGAAATTTTTGTTTTGCTTAGTGCTACGGCAGTATTTGCTCTTATTCCAATTGTTTTGAGAAGTTCATTGTGTAGGTGGACAGCCATGTTCATCATACATAGAGGTTATGATCATAGTAATCCCTGAAGACTTCCACATGTAGTTAAGAGCGCTCTTGTAAAGTCAGGTAATTCTGGATTGTAATCTCAGGGGCAACAATAGTGAGGGTTTGGGGACAAGTTATTTGACCTTGCTTCCCTCCTGGTTTCTCCAACTGGGCGAAAAAGTAGCTTTAGAGTGTTAGTAAGACTGTAAAAGGTCAATGAAGGTGGTTCTTAGTTACTCAGCATAGAATCTTGTAGTTTATGAGTAATCTTCAGTGTTAGTTGCTTCCCTGCATCGTGAAATTGGGATTCTTTAAATCATAGTTTTAAAAAAGCTTGGCAGTGTGTTTGCATGTCATGGGCAGATAGAGAGGCACACGGGTGCGTGTACACCAGCAGATAGAGAGGCGCACGGGTGCGTGTACACCAGCAGATAGAGAGGCGCACGGGTGCGTGTACACCAGCAGATAGAGAGGCGCACGGGTGCGTGTACACCAGCAGATAGAGAGGTGCACGGGTGCGTGTACACCAGCAGATAGAGAGGTGCACGGGTGCGTGTACACCAGCAGATAGAGAGGTGCATGGGTGCGTGTCTGTGTGGGAGCTGAGGACAGCCTAGGGCTGCATTTCAGGAGCGCCTATTATTTATTTATTTACAGGGGTTCTGGATGCTGAATTCCCTGTGCTTCCCGCAAGCTCTGACACAGCTATTTCCCAAGTCTCAAATTGTTTTCACTATCATAAATTCATTCAGGAATCAGAGAATTCCTTTTTGAGATAGTCTGCTTTATTAGTTGGGTGTATTTGAAATAGAGTATTTGATGATAATGTGTTTTTTAAAAATATATTTTTCATTTCAAAAGAGATCACAAGTCAAGCAAGGTGGTCCATGTTGTTAGTATCAGCATTTAGGAGGTGTAGAGAGCATTGTGAATTGGATGCCAGCCTGGGCTACGTGAGACCTGTCTCAAAAAAAAAAAAAGTTACCAACTAAGTTTACCTAAAGTTCTGTTTGTTGTATGTACTTAGGATTAGGTATGACATGACATTGTATTTTGTGAGCCTTAGACACTTTTTTTAAAATTAATCTTCTCATTTTAATTGTTTGGATAGGAATGTGCTATATATTTTGTTTTCCTCCTCCCATAGAAATGTTTTTAGTGACAATGAGTGGCTTGTATTATGTATGATTCTCCTGAGGTCCAGAAGAGTTTGGCTTGGGTACTTCTGTTATTGCTATGGTTCAGACAGAATACCTCTATTAAAAATTATTGATGGACTAATTCTGACCTAGGAACTCATTTAGTTAGTCTTAGTTATGAGTAATTCTTGCATTCAGTTTTGTTCAGAAACCTATTCTACTTAATTTGTGAAAGTCCCCAAATTTGCTACTGATATCGTTAAATACTTCCTATATTTTGCATCAAAATTTATTTTTTAAAAACAAATGCAAACACCCAAATGTTTCATTTAGCCTATGTCTACAGCAAGCATAGCTGCCTCCTCCTCCTCCTTCTTCTTCTTTTTTATAGTGCATCCCCTTCTGGTACTGACTCAGACTTGAAAAGATACAGTGTTCTGTGAGAGTAAGTCCCTGTTAGTATAGTGTTCAAAATGTATTCCCAGAAAATGGACACTTCTGTATCAGTTATTATAAAACTGCCGAGTTTTACGTATTTTGAAAATTTAAATCCCTTTATTTTTCCATTAGAAGAATGAAATGCTGATGGTCGGTCCAGCTTGCTGTTTAGTATTTAGAAGAGCAGGAAGGCTATCTGAAATAGTGTGAATTTGAACATTTTTGTTTTCTAATTTCCCTTAGTTGGGAGGTTACTCATTTTTTTAATTGCTCATGAGTTCAAACAAACATTGACAGAAATCTCTTATGTATCAGAAACTGAATTAAATGCTGGAGGAGTAGGAACGAGAAGGATGTTGTTCCTTTTAAAGAGTTCATTGGGGCTGACATAAAGAAGTGATTGTCGTAAGGAACAATAAGTACAGACTGTGTAACGAACAGAGTGAGTGCCACAGCAGTCAGAAGAGAATGTGACTATCTGGTGGATTGGTGACCAGAGAAGCCTTCTAAAGGAATAAACTTCTCTTAAAAACTGACAGCACGGAAGGAAATGTGGACTATGAAGAATAACCCACACTTTTGGAAGGGAAAGTCAGTAGACAGAGGAGCTAAGACAATCTGAGAAATGCTAAAGGAGTAGACTAGTGTTTAGCTACAGAAATGGAAACAAAGATGTATTAGAGTGAGGAAATCAACTGATTTGCTTTTTCCCATTGAAAACTGATTCTGACCTTGTTAAAACTCCCTCTCCCCCCATTTTGGAAGCAGTCTTGCTGTTTATCTCTAGCTGGCCTGATTTTGAATGTGTGGTCCAGGCTAGCTTTGAACTTGAAGTAGACCTCCAGCTTTGGCTTCAGTGTGGGATGACAACATGTGCTAGCACAGCCAGCTACTTTCATTTCTTTATGAAGAAGGTGAAACCTGACAGACCTAATCACTTCAGACTTCTTGCCTAGAGTCAAACTGCATAGCATCTGTTTCTTTCCAGGAGTGGCTATACTCCTGATCAGAGTTCCTTCAGGAGGCTGTGGGGAACTTTTTTTCCTTCCATCTTGTCAATTCAGTTTCCATATGCTTAGCAAACATTTGCTCTACCTTCATATGGGTAGCCTACTAGAGTGGGCATGGGCCAAGGCTGAAGATAGAAAGGGATGAAGATTGGAAAAGTTACTTTGCTGAGA